CACTTGACCATAGTTTGCCATTGCAGTTTGTATTCTAACTTCATTTGGAATATTCTCTGGGTTTGGTTGTCCGGGTTTCTGTGCATTTGCTAAGTTCTGTGCGTCCATTTAATATTAGATAAAAATATCTCTTACGAGTACATATGCTGAACATTTGCAGACATTGGTTCATCTTCATATTCTCTATATCTTTCTGCCACGTCAAAGAAATAGATGACACAATGGAAAAAACCTAAAACAAGTAGTCCTATTTCAAACCACATTTAGTTACTAGTAAAATTTCTTTGTTGTGACACTTTTTCCGGTTTATAGGACCTCTCTCATATTCTATCTTATCGTATCTAAACTCATAGTCATGTATGTCCTCTAACCATCTCATAACGGTTTCCAAACCACTTTTATCGGATGTAAAGTAAAAGCATGGATGGTTATGTAAAACGTCTAAAGTTTCTAAAGAGTCTCTCAAAGTCCAGTCTACTTGGTATTGAAATCGTATGTGTTATAGAACGGCGGGTCTACTATAAAGAAAACATTTTCCTTGTTTTTATATTTTTCATACAACTCTGTCCAATGACATCTCACAAACTCTATACCCTCAATATATTTTTCTATGTCCTCTTTGAAAACCTTTGTATAGTTAAGATATAAAACGTTTGACATAAGTGTTTCAATGTCATGAACTCTTATAGAACCACTATATAATAGTCTAGCAGATATACTATCCCAGTCTATATATTCTACTTTTTTCAAAACCTCTCTGACAATATTTTTCTTATCTAATGGTATACGTTCCATCTTACCTATAGGTATCTTTTCTTTTAACTCTTTCAATATTTTGTTTGTGTCTGGTATATGTTTGAGACGGTTCATATAGTTGTCGAAGTCATTGCATATAATCTTTGAGTTTGGGAATACGGTATGGCACAAATGAGATATATAGAAACTTCCACCGAACAAATCTACAAATGTTAGACCATTCGGTAGTTTCTTAAGTTCTCTCAATAGAATATCTTTACATCTACTCTTATTTCCAAAGAAGGGTAACGGTGGTTTTGTAAAATTCATTTTATATATATAATAAAAATGTTTTTTCCTGAAAAGTGACAGAAAAGGCTTCTCAAAGTATACTTCTTTGAACGCCCGTAACTTTACTGTAGCGACGATAGACCCTTACTTGTCCGGACATAGTTATACTATTTTGAGCCCTCTACCGAAAAGTCAACAGCAACGACTTTCAAAAATTTTAAGGGCTAGAAGGCACGAAGTGCCTGGGAAGCCCCCTTCACCCAAAAAAAACCTCATTTTATACCTCATTGCATACTAAACATCTTCGGGGCTAGAGGGCACGAAGTGCCTGGAGGCCCCACTACCTTTTTTTTTTTTTTTTTTTTTCATATAGTTCAAAATAAGGGTTTCGTTTTGCTAAAATTGTCACTTTTATAGCATATTTGTTTTTGGATGTTTTGCGAAACCAAAAAAAAAAACTATGATATACAATGTGTGTGTAAAGAAAATACTTTATTTACTAGTTAAAAAATCATTTGGTATTGATCAAGTTATTTTTTCTGGATAAGATATTATATGGATAATTGGATAGAAAATACAATTATATAATCTTGTACCTGGTTTAATTAAGCTAATTGTCATCAGAAACTTGTAATTTTTATGAATTTCAGATTTTCTTTTCATTACTGCTTTTCTTAATAGGTCAAGTTCTTATTTACGTTATAAAGTATGATATTTACAAATATCAAGTTATCATGTTTTTTGAGAAATTATGAGAAACAAACAAAAATGAAAAAGATAGGAATAGCAATGAATAGTGATGTGGGTATAGAAAATGTAAGAGATATGAATGCAAAGCAATCAGTATTTAGGATATTGACCATAGATTTCGAAAAAAAAATGCTGCATATTGAGCGAAAACTATGATTATATTATAAAGCTGTCATTTAAAGCATAATGAAACTATTCCCTTTTCATTTTAATCGAATAAGATAGTAAAGATTTTTGAATTAGCTAGAAACTGATGAGATGTTTTCACAAATCAGATTTTTAATCTCTATAATGCATAATTCACTCAATATCTCAATTTTGATATTGCGAGATATTTTTGCTATCGGTTTCGCAATTTTGACACAATAGCAAGAGGGTTCTATAAGCATTATTATCAACGTAGAATCTGAATATCATATCAGAAAATGTCGCAAATCTGACATTTACCCGACCAAATAGCAAAAATAATTGAATACTTTTCGCAAAAACTTTAAAAATCGATAAAAATATGAAATATAGATATTAAAGAGACTTTTTATATAATATTCATAAAGATTTTCCAAAAATATGATACCGCAAAATTAAAAAAGTGACGTCTTGAGTGGAGTCAAAGGTCGAAATTGCTAGCTAAATGTTTTTTTAGCGAAATTGCGTATTGTACGTTTTTTTCGCAAAACGAAACCCTTAGTTTAAGCCATAACATCATCAAAATGATTTTTCTTCGAAAATGAAAAATAGAAAAATCATTATTAATCTTTTCTTAATAAGGAATTTTGTTTCACTTGACGTATATATTGTCTGCATAAATCATAAAGGTTGATTTGTATCTTGATTATCAATGGCCAAATAAGGATATTGGAAATCATTAATTATTTATATCTCATTGGTAATACATTAGTAATTGAAATGTCTGAAAATGATTTCAACCTCAATCAACATGAATTAAGAAATCGAAACCTAAAAAAATTCGAAGGTATGGATAAAATATGTACTTTAATAGAAGCTTACGATATGCAATTTCTGATATGCTAAATAATGAAGAGAACTGTCATTTAGAAATTGAAAAAAGGTTCGTTTCCATTTAAAAATTATTATGCAATTGTGAAAAGAGTATGTTGACCACTGATTTATGCATTTTCGATTTAGGAAATTTCGGTATCCTTCACAAAAGTCAATTATAAAATCCCCCTGAAAAAAATGAGAGCGATCTCAAAACAAATTTTTTAATGTCGAAAAAAAATGATAAATTTGCTATTTGGGTAGTTTTTCGACTCCCGAAAATCCATAGAATTGATTTGAATAGTTCTTTTTTTGAGAGTGTACCGGCATTGAAATATTCGTATATGCCAAATATTTTTTGTATGACTGCAAACTTGATGCCTCAAAAACAATGCAATAAGATGAGCCCGATTAAAGACGTAGAAAAGCCTAAATTCAAACACAACAAATGGACTAAAAGTGAAGATCAACTTCTTATAAAATTAGTAAATAATTCGTATCCAATTGTCTGGACATATATTGCAGAGCAATTCCCCAACAGAAATAAAAGACAATGTTTTGAAAGATGGAACTATTATTTATCACCAAATGTTAACAACAGTGATTGGACAAAAGAAGAGGATCAAATATTGCTAGAAAAATATAAATTATATGGATCAAAGTGGACTAAAATTGCTAAGTATTTTAAAGGGAGAACAAACACAAATATAAAAAATAGATTCCTTGCTTTACAGAGACAAGGTAAAAAACCTATCGAAGAGCCAAATGATGAAACCCAGAAGGAAGCGAAGGAAAGAGTGATTCTTCCTTCAATTCTCTCGCTGGATAATTATGTGCCAATTAAGCACAAAACAATAGAGTCAATAATTAATATCACTAATCTCTAAATATACTAGAAAAATTGTAAGTAATAATAAAAACTATACTATTGTATTAACCGAAGTTTTCGAAATTAAGATTTTTTTTAGATATAGTTCGACATTCCAAATTTTAAAGATTCAAGTATTCATTGACAAGAATTAGTGAAATATTGAATCCTTTTCCAAATGTAATTTAATTTGCTCCGGAAATATACCGCCTCAACGATAAAAAAGCAAGTAGATTACAAATTAGTTATTGTTGCAAGATGCATAACAATAGACATCGTCAATTCATTTAATTGAATAAAATATTTGAGATCAAAATCAAATTGAACTTTATTGAAGCGCTAATTCAATGTATAATATCTAATAAGTGTATGGAATATAATGAGAGAATCAATCTCTATAATTCATAAGAAAACATCTTGATTAAAAAATATCAATTTTGAATCAATTACCGTACATCTCACTTAATTTATATTGCATTTCACTATAAAATATTTTAAAAATACTGCACTTCTTGGTTTGAAGGATAATATCTTGAGCAAGAAGAGAAAAGTTCTTGATTCGTGGAACCTATATACCATAGTTAAATTTAAGATGCCCAATACAAAGGATCTCAAAGTTTTTGGGAAAAAAATCACCTTGAAATTTTTTACAGGGGAAGAGAGTTGTTCATTTCCATCATTTACGGGTTTCAAGTATAAAATATTCCCACGTCCTGTAAAATCAACAGTTCTACAACTAAATTTGTGTCTCCACAACGATGTAAGTGAAAGTATTAGCATGGGTATTAAAAATCTTTACTCCAAGCATCTTAATTCGTATTTTTCATTATACTACGATATTGTTTCAAATTCTCGTACAATTATTGCTGATTTTATACCAGATAAACCAGTTTCCGGCTGACTATTTATCACTAATGACACTACAACATGTACAGTATCTGCTCAGGTTACTCCAAAATTTGAATTCTCGATGTCTCAAAATTTAACTTATATAGGAAAGCCAAACTTATCATTTAAGTTTGGATTAGGTACATTTCCAGTAAGAAAATCTTTGGATGAACTCTTTTCTTCAAAATTCTCCAATTTTTGTTAATTTTTAATAAAATTGTTTCTAAATGTATATAATTCTTATAAGAATCATGACTTTTTTATAATTGTCCAAGAAAATCTCTTGATTTTTTTTCATGATTTTGATTTAAGAGCTATAATCGAAAGATTGAAACGGATCCTTAACTAACTTGCAGAAAGCTTGTATTGTAATAGAAAAAATTTGAATTATTAAAAACTATGGAAATAATATATCGCTTTAAACAAAAACAAATACAATAATTCTAACATGTATACATAATCAAGCCAATTAAATCATGTCAATTGCACCTTTTCGTTTCTTAATTTGATCTTTTCCTGAATTTGCAATGAAAGGAGTTCTTGCTTCATCTTGCTGACTAGAATTTCCATTTCTAGAAGCAAATCCAAAGTAATAAACTATTACGCCAATTATTGCAATTAAAATAATCCAAATTCCTTTACCAACTGAAATAAATCCAGTTCCTGTAACTTGAGCAAATGCATAATTTGACGAATACAAAATATTGTCAAAAGAAACGTAAATTTTGTAAGATCCCGGATTTAATTTTGGAGAAATGCAAGTTATTGAGTGAGCATTTGTTGAATTGGCTGTTACAACTACGTTTTCGAATTTACAATAAGCTTTAAGCGGTTTAAATCTTGGTAATGGCTTTATTTGAATCGTTACTTTTTCATTTCCAGTGGAGAGCAAATCAGAAGGAGGCGTATCAATTACGAATGGGACAGGAACATAGCATTCAGTTATACCATCTCCATAAAGTCCGATTTCGCATTCACATTTTCCAGGATAAACACAACTTGCGCTTTCATTGCATTGATCAATACACTTATAACATCCCTTTCCATTTGGATCTCCGAATGGAAATCCATCCATACATTTACATTTATTATCAACAATGATGGTGTTAATTCCGGCGCATTCATCATAATCATGATATCCTGAGAGATCTGGAACTCTTCCATTAGCATTTCCCATCCAGTTTCCATATCTTTCCTTTTTTTCAAAGCAGATCAACGAAATTAACATCATCAAAAATGAAATTATTCATATAATACATCTCAAGGAAAATGCACTAAAATCCTTAACAAAAAGCTTTTATTAGGGTTGCTAATTTGGATGATCTTTTTGGATCATCCAAATTCGAAAAAACCCAAAGATCATCCTAAATTCGAGTTTTGGATTTTTAAAACAGGTATAAATACCAATCAAACCATTATTATTATTAATGAGGAGCATATATTTGATAAAATATCATAACTTAAGGGTCCACTGTAAGGCCAAATAAGGCCTATCGTCGTCCCAAAAATATTGCTCAGGATGGTGTTTTTACTAAGGCCCAAAACTTAAAAAAACACAAAAAAATTAACTTTACTCTTTTGAGATCCTTATCAGATGTGCAACAATTTGATGCAGTATCGCAATTCGAATCCGATTTTTTAATGTAGATGTACTCTAACATTCTTGAAAAAATGCAAAATGATATTAATCAAGCTTTTCATTTCTGTATCATACACGAAACAAAATCATTCATTATACTAAAATTTATCAAAGTTTGAATAATGAAAAAAATAATATCTAAATTTTTACATTGAGTCGGCTATTGATATGGTCAATATTAAATCGTTTAAAAATGGGCATTAGTCAGAATAATACCCACTAAAATACACATTTTTTTAAATTTTATCAATTTGTTTTGGTATATCTTTATGATAATGAATAAAATTCTTATCTTTCATAAGTCAATACATAATTTATGCTGAAACACAAAAAATAACACAAATTTTTGGCCAACATTTCAAAACGAAGGATAATGCTTTGAATATATAAACAATAATACTTTGTCTAGAGAATTAAATTTGTGCTATCCAATTGTCAATTCTTTGAATTTTTTATAAAATGCACGATATTCCGGCATTAGCCTCAATAAATATAAACTACATGCATCACAATATTAGGATGTAATGGCATTAAAGCGAATTTCCTAATTTCTTCTCAATTAAATTCCTAGAAAAACTTAGGAATTAATGATTGGAAATAGGTCAAAAAATTCCTAATATAAAATTTATACTTAAATTAAAATCAAAATTCGAAAATATCTATTTTTCAAAACACGCATCCAGAAGCGAAAAAATTCGAAAAAATCATGTTCTTATAAAAACTCGCTGATTTTGCAATTTTTATGTGATTTGAAGTGATAGAATGTATTATCATCTTACTAAAACATATACTTTATTGTTACATTCACAAAATATTAATCAGAACACTAGGAAAAGTGGATTTTCGAAAAAAGACGATAATGATTATTTGCAAATCGCCTCTCAATTTTGAGAGACTTTCAATTTTTACAGTGGACCCTTAACATTCCCCTATTGCAGGAAGCAAATGCGCTTCTTGAAGCTGCAGTAGCTTTAAAACAGAAGAAATATAGCATGGCGCAAGTATGACGCCAGTTTGCGTCATATTTATCAACTTTTGAATTTAAATAAGACAAAAAATATATTTGATATGTTTTTATTCAAATTATTAACTTTTGGAATTGAATTTATTGCATGACGATTATTTTAATCTGAAAAATTAGTTCCAGCGTCATATGTTTAAATCACTTTCAAATTTATTTAAATCAAATATTAGAAAATAATCATTGATGACGCAATAAAATTTCAAGTATACTCTGACTTTTCAATGCTCGATTTTAAGGTTCCCTTAAAATCAAGCTAATTATTGAAAGTATAGAGTATACGACAAATTTACTCTGACTTTTCAGAGAATTGAGCTGAGGCTCAATTCTCTGAAAAGTCAGAATAAATTTGTATAATAATTTAACTCAAATTGTAAATATATGAAAAATTATTTAAATCAAATATGAAGCATCAATGATTTATCATATAGTGCAAAATTTCAAATCAAATATTTCCATCAAAAAATACTTTTCTATAACCTTAAATACCTCACTTTTCTCTCTTCAAAAAAAAGTTTTATCATGTCAGATAGAAATAATGGTCGAAATCCATACATATTAAAGATTTTACACGCTTTTAAATATTTTTCAGAAGTGTAATCACACCAGGATAGAGTAAATCTGATTTATTATTTTCTCTAAATAACAATTGAAAATACTAACGGTTTAAGGCTTACGTATCAAATTAAATCAATTTTTCATTGGTAGATCACCAAACAATCTTAAAAATAGATATAGCACACACCTGGCAAAGATTAGCTATCACCGTAAAAACATTGTCAAAAAGCCGACACCAAAGCCAAAACCAGAAAAAACACCAACTACTACAAGTTTCCAGACAGATAACACACCTATAAACTGCGCTTGGGAGATATTTAATGTTCAAGAATTATATTCTCCAAATTTTGAGCAGTTATGGTATGAATAATAGAGAATAGATTGTAAATATTTGGTTGTTTATGTTAATTTGTTTTGTTTTCATAACAAAATCAAGTTTTAAACTAGTTTTAAAACGATATCTTTTCTTTCAAAAATTCGTTCGGAGCACTTAAATTGAATCAAATTTTAATAATCTCTCAATTTTTTCAAGACCAAGGTCAATTTTTAGGTCAATTTAGTTTTGACACTATTTGACACATGATAGATTATGTAATAATGATCAATAATTTCCTAATTTCATACGATTTTGGCAGAAATTTTTGAATGATTCACAAATATGATCCAAAAACGATAAATTATAAACTGATATCGTTTTCAAGTCGAATACAAATTTATATTCATTTAAATAGATTCCTATATGATTTTCTCACAAAACATTCATCAAATTTCCAATCTGTATCAATCTTCAATCTAAGGCTATGAACCAACTTAGAAAATTATTTAGCGATTGGTGTTGGCTTAATTATTCCACAATTAAATATGAACCGTTGACCATATTTCTTGAGAAATAATTTCAAATCAATGTTTGCCCTCACTTTCAATGTACTTGAAAGTGCTTTGGAGAAATATTTATGTATACATGTTTAACATATAGCTTAACAATAAGTCTGTATACATAAATAATAATGCAAATATTTTGTAGAATTAATATACATTTCCAGGCTAGATTTCAAGAAAAATGGAAATCGTGATATTCATCATATAATCTACGATTTTATTTACAATTAATTCATAACGTTGCACATTTTTTGGGTCCCACATTTTCTTGAGGGTCCTGAATATTATTTAAAACAGTTGTCCATAGAAACAATTATATATGAAATATTGCAGCTGATGATTTTTTTTTGAATTTTGAATAGTCTACACACTCTTCGCTTCGCTCGGGGCGCCAAAAAGTGACAGGACGAGAGACATAATGGGAAATAATTATTATAAATTATAAAAATTACAAAAGTGACATAGAGGTTTACTTGATTGAAATGTTTAGAATTTACTCATATAAAAAGATCTTGTATAGTTGTATTTTCAGAGTGGCAGCAATAGGTAAGTAGCAAATGAAAGGCAAAAACCATTGTCATCACCCAAACGTCATGCTAATAATACTCCAATTAGGAGTAAAGAAACTAATGAAAAAGTTTCCACATAGCCCAATAAACGAACAGATAAACTCTCCGAATTCTGATTTATACAACCTTCATTGTATTTATAGTGAAACTCTTCTTTATCTACTGAAATCATTTTTTCACTGTAATTTCCTTATAAGTATCAACTTGCCAAATGAATAGTCTTTCATAAAATCGATGAAGAAATGTTGCATGCTAAGATCAGTCATAATGTAAACCTCTCAATTTTATTGTCGTGGGAAGTATCTCAATTCCTTCAAAAAAATTGAAAAACTATTTAATTTTAAAAATATAATACTTTTAATTAGTTAATTAATTGGAGATATTTTTAAAAAATCACTTTTGATAATACTTTTGAGAACTTTAATTAAAAAAATATATTCAAAAATATCCAGGATATCAAGAGGGAATTGTTCCTTATGAGGTATATATTCATACTGTATACCTCATAAGGAACAATTCCCTCCTTAAAACGAGAAAACTTGTTCGAAATTGTTTATCATTTCGAACAAGTTTTCTCGTTTTTAATAAGAAACTAAAGGCTATGAGGCACTGATTATATATTAGTGCCTCACAGCCTTTAGTTTCTAATAGATAGCTGGGAAACTTTCTCCAAATGATAAGTTATTCAGAGAAAGTTTCCCAGCTATCAAGAGGAATTGTTCCTTATGAGTTATATAGTTATGATGTATACCTCATAAGGAACAATTCCCTCCTTAAAATCGTAGACATTTTTATACTTATTAATCAACCATTCAAAATCATATTCCTCTGAAAAGTTATTTTATTAAAAATTTAGAATTTTAATAAATATAGAGTTTGAATTTCATACAATACCTATATATTTTCAATAATGGAATTTGAAAACCATTCTCAAAAGTTCTCAGAAAACCTTTTTTTCATTAATTTTAAGAAATCTGAGTATTAAATTAAGTGATAAATTCGTTTGACACTACTTTAATTTTTAAATTCAAAAAATTATATGTGCTTCTTAAAATGACTCAAAAAAAATTTATTATAAAATAATATATAATATTAAAAATCCCACAACATTTTTTGACTTTACATAATCGTACTTCCTCGACGATTAATTTCCACTCAATTTCTATCGTTGACCGAACTTAGCATGCAACAGAAAAAACATTTTTAGGAACAGATATAAACACAGACCACATTTGCTTGTCAGAAAATTAATTAAACTTGAATTTCTTTTGTTAAGGGTGCACCCGTATGTACGTTTATTTGAGAGGAGGAGGATTACCCTCTCAATTTTGAGGGATTTGTTAGTTTATTTTCTCGATGAATATGCAATAAAATTTGATTTTTACCTTATCAATATACTTCATATAATATACACATGTTCATGTAAAATCTTTTTTCCAAAATCCTCAGGAATTAAGGGATTTTTGAATTTTAAGAATTTTTTTCGAATTTTTTCGAAAAAAAAATATTTTCAGAACAGCCTTAACGGCTAAGATTTAGGAACAATGTTAAGTATCAAAAAGAAAGGAGGTCTGATATAGACAACATATATCGTTGAAGGTTGAAAAAAATCTCTAATATTTGAGCCCAAAATTTCAAATTTTAATTTTTTGAAAAAAGAGGCCACCTGTATGTACGTTTATTTGAGGAGGAGGATTATATTTTTGAAAGGGTGAAACATTATGAATATGTTAATTATATAATAATATGTATTATTATAAAAAAGAAAAAATAAAGCACTTTAATTTTTTTCTTTCTTGATTTTTTACAAAATCTACTTAGAATTATGCAAAATATGACTAAATAATTATAAATTTCAAGTTAAATTTTAATTTCGATAAATAATTTAAATTTCAAAATATCAAGTTCAGTTCGACTATGTATGTAGTAATTCCTCAATAAAGTTCCAAAACCCTATTAAAATATATGAACATTTTCAACATTTTAATGTTTTTATTTAAAAATTTGATGGAATATGAGCTTCAAACAATTATTATGTAAATAAAAATAATTAAATATATGTATTTATTCGTATTACAACCATAGTAAGTCGATTCTTCCTTTCTTCTACTGAGTTTTGAATTTGATTTCGAATTGTAAAGAGATTCAAAGGGAAAATACTAGCGGATAAAAACTACCTCCATGAAAGGGTCATAATGGACTCAAGTTGTATTTTTTGATATTTTTTTGCTTTTCGAGCCTAAATAGGTAGCCAAGATAATGCCTAAAAATAAGGTTCTAAATTCTGAAGTTTACATGATCCTCTCGTGTGCACCCTTAAAACAAAACAAGAATGTACATGGGTCGTTATGCCTAAGAAATTTAAAACGGTCTAAATTACGACATTTGTAATCAACATCTTCTAAAAAGTTATCGAAACTTTCTTTTGCTTTTTCATTTAAAATATACTCCTCTTTGAATAGATAAACATCTGTTTTATTTTCAGTAATTGTAATATTTAAAGGTTGGTATTCATATGATCCATAATTAAAATTGTAAGTGGCAGCAGTACGCAGAACAGTACCCACATCGTGATCACTTTCTTCCACTTCTGCATAATAAGTAATCACTGGTTGCTGTTTAAGGAATGATTTCAAATATTTTTCATTATTAATATTGTGTAACATCATGAAAAAAGATCTGGAATCAAATTTTTTGACGAGGCATAACACAAAAAGAATTAACAAAAAAATTGGATATGCATAACATATTTGCATGTTGGTTTCTGGAAATTTAATAAATCTACCCTCGAATTTTTGATGGATGTCATACAATTAATTATATGAGATTCTCTCAAAAAGTCGATTTCTGTCGAGATAAATAACTACATGAAATGTAATACTTTGATCTTCTTTATACATAGATGACATTGATGTTCATCCTTTATTTAGGTTCCAAAAAATTCTTGTAAAATCTCTTTTTTAGACAACAAAGATATCATGTGATTTATTGATCTGCAGTGATAAGATATATATTTGATCAAATATAATTTGGGCCTCAGGTAGCTTCGCTTGCCCGAAGGGCAAGCACGCCACCTTCGGCCAAATTAAATAATTTTTTGAAAAATTGAATTATTCACTATTTAGTTGGCGCAAAGCACCAACCAAGTAATGAAGAATACTAATATATGTTTACTTAAAATATGAGTAAAATTTCTGAACGAAAACTATCAAAAATAATTCATAAAAAATATAAAAATAAGAATCTAATTTATTGTAGAATAAATATCCGCAAAGTCTTCGTAACATTCTTAATATATAGTGCTCCCAAAATCTCAGTAGTGATATCTTTCATATCTATATACTGTCTTAACTCTATCGGCGCTTCGCGCCGATATAATTAATTAAAAAAATGAAATGTCAAATTTTTGTAAAAATTTATGACATCTTTGAAAGAAATCCTTCCTATAGACAAATACAATGAATTAAGGAAAATCGGTATAATTACTGACAAGCTTTATGATGTAACAGAAAAGAATCAAGAGATTTTAATTCACCAAATACTTTCTTTAATGGAAAGTAATTCAAATCTTATACGAAATATCATAAATAACATGTTTACGATATCAAAGAAAAGGTTTAAAATTGCAGATAGATTCGGAGAAATACTTTCTCGCATTGCAAGTGACAATTCAGAATACAAATATTTAATTCGAGACGAACTTACAAATAATTTTACTTATAATAATTTTTTACTAATACATTATTGCTGTAGGCATGGATTGTTCGAGCCTTTTAGTCAATTAGACAGAGCTGCAAGTAATTATGTTTATAACAACAGAATATTTTATTGGGATTGCAATATGATGCTTTATTTTGGAATATATTTGAAAGAGTATAATCATGCTTATTTCAAAAAACAATATGATCACATGAATTCTTTCGAAAACAAATTTCATCTTGTAAAAAACCTTTTAAATCCTTCTCTTCAGATTGATATTCAAAAAATATTTCATGTTATAGATTATACAGATGCACCTGGTTCACTTCGTTCTATTGCTTATAGTGATGATTTAGAAAATTTTCTATATATTTTGAGCATGCAAGAAACCTCCAACCCTTTAAGAGTTTTTAAAATTCATTTTGATAATGATATTTATGGCAACTCAAAATTTTTTGAAATTATTTCTTTTGTTCCTTCAATGAGAATCATTAAATATTTACTGACAGAAACAACTTATTTTCAAGATCATATACAGGCGTATTGGATGAAAGGTGGCTGCATCGAATTAATCAAATTACTACCAAAAAAAGTAATAACAAATAATTATTACTTTTTATTACAATACCATTATACTTCAATCCTTGAATGGGCTACATCATTTATAAACGATATTGATCTAATTAAAATTAATGCAGCAAACAATAACATTTCTTATCTTTTGGATGAACGAACAGAAATAGATGATATTGATTCTCTTGGTGATGATGAAAAGTTGTTTGTTCACCATTGCGTGGAAACTTTGTTAATTAAGCTATATTCGACATCAGATTTACAAAAAATTGGAAAATTCATAAAAACAGCTGCTAAATATGATGTTGGATTATTTTTAGAAGAATGCTTAAAATATCAGGATATGATCATTCAAGAAAATATTCAAGAAAATTATGAGGAAATAAATAATATTTTGGTCGAAAGTCTCAAAATTACTATAGACAGAAAGAATAAATATTGCTTTGATATTCTCATTAAAAACAATATAGATCAATTTTACAAAGATAATCAAAAAGAAACACTTTATGATCTTGCATATCAAAATATATTTTATACTGCATTTGACACCTTAGTTTCCAGAAATCTTCCAACACATTTCCATCCAGAAAAATATTCAAATATGAATTCTTTTTTCAAAAAAGTTCTAATCAAAAATCACTATCCTGTCGAGAAGATAATCGATTATTATGATGAATACGATTATTATGATGAATACGATTTTTATGATTATGAATATCAAAATCAAGATGAAGATGAAGATCAATGATTTTTTTAATATTTTACTGTAAAGCTTTACATAACACATTCATTAGATAAAATCTGATGTTTTATATTATATCTACTTTTCATTGAATTATTAAGATGATATAAAGAAACTAATAGATAATTCATAATTTTATATGTTAATCATGAATTAATTTATGAGAATAGGTATTTATGTAAAGATAATGAATAAAGTTATTGTTGAAAAATTTTTTGGAACGCGCGGTTTTTCAGAAAAAATTGAATTACCCCCATTCAAATAAAAATATCGTATTTTATCTAATATAAATAGAGATTTATCATTCTTATACAATAAGGTATGTTTTTTAAAATAAATTATCTCTATATGTGAACTTGAATTTCTCATCACATTATTGACAATCCAAAAGACATTCGAATCTAAAGAATAAAAATTCAATTTCCTAAATAGAGTAGATTATCTTTCTATTTCGTTCTTTTGGCCAAATGTAATTTTGAAACAAATATTCAAGAGATTTAATTAGAAATTAATATGAAATCATTAGATAGTTGTTATTACTATAACAATTCTATTACTTGTATAATGATACAGTTTTTAATCGCAATATTCCAATTTGATTAAAGAATTTGTATTTTAGCATCATATCTATTATTCATATATGAAACATTTCGATTATTTATCATGCTTCTAGAATTTTATACTTGAATGCAAAGATCGATATTGGCCGTTTAAAAATTCGAGTAGGTGACAAAAGTGCATACTCTTAAATTAACCTTAAATGTTGATTTTTCGATATTTTCGGTATTAACCTTATTGTAAATTTTTCCGGTGATAAATTTATCACACTGAGGTTATTTTTCCGGTGAGATTTTTAACCTTGATTTAATGAAATTAATATATATAAATTTTATTATTTTTAATTTCGAATGAGTATAATAAAATATTTTTTATATCGTCATAACTCTCATCACTGTTGTGATTCCAAATGCGATTATTAAGGTTCAAGTCGCTAATGTTTTGAATGAAGATAGAGCAGTAAGAATTCTTACAAGGGCAGGTAATCAGATTGTTGAGCAAAGAGCTTCAAAACACGATGAATGTTTGAAATTAATTCAACACATTTTGGAAATTGTCGAAAGCCGAAGGATTGAACCTAATGTCCTTATTCCATCTTTGAAGGCAATATTAAATTTGGCACAAAGAAGTTTAAAGGAAGAGTAAGCAAGATTAGATAATTTGGACTTTTTTTAAAATTAATGAATAAACAGTATATTTTTGAAGTGTAAGCTTATTTACCTGAAGCTATATTACTTAATATAACATTCAAAGTATTATTGCTATTTATTGGAGAACAAATTTATGTAATTTTCACATGAAAATTGATAAATTTGTATTTCCTTATGATAATCAATTTTTGTATTTGTAGAGAGTCTCCCTGCATGATATCAAGACTTGGCTATAAGTCTTTATCCATTTTTGAAAATTGTATTGTAAATTGTAAGAATTTCTGAATACTACTACTATAAAATATAATTGCTTATCTATGTATATTCTCCCTGCATGATATCAAGACTTGGCTATTGGTCTTTATCCATTTTTGAAAATTGTATTGTAAATTGTAAGAATTTCTGAATACTACTACTATAAAATATAATTGCTTATCAATGTATATTCTCCCTGCATGATATCAAGACTTGGCTATAAGTCTCTATTCATTATGAGTATGATCCCATTTTTTTTACAAAAAGTGCCGAATTGCAACTTTGTCCCAATCTCTTAAAAATTCTCATATTTTTTTCTTCCATACTAATGTTGAGGATTTTGCCATCAAAACATGAATTTTATCTATTACTACAGTTATTAAAAAGTATTTCGCGCTCAGATAGTGAAAATATTCAACTTTTCAAGAAATGCAATAATATAGTTAGTATACAAGTCTTGGGTATGGTGGCACTGCGTTCCACCTTACCCAATACTTGTGAATTTGACACTTTACAAAACCGTTAACGTATATTTTACAACATGAACGCAAAAACTAACTTAACCTTAAATATTTACAAAGCCGCCAACAATTTTACCTCACTAACGAACTCACTAATGAAAAAATAAACGTTCTCATAAATTTTCCTCAATATCTTCATCATCAGTGTTAACCCTATTGTAGTCATACTTGAAGCCATAAACTTTCTCTAACTTCTTAACGTACAATTTACATAACTTACCTTCGTCATCGTATGGTTTAATGATATAACTATTTCTATCTTTATAAACAGTCAATGAAAAGTCAACTGGTCTCGGATGTATTTGAAAGAACATGTTATGCTCAGGAAGGAAGAATAAATGTTTAAATGTATGTTTGTTATACTGTGGAATTCGAATGAGTTGCTTTTGTTCTGTCATTTACATCCAAATAAAAATTTTCAGTAAAATAAAAAATAAACTTAAAAATTAATGATATCACCACTCCCACACGTATGAAAACATAGCACAAAAATAAATTTAGGTGAAGTGGTGAGATCTCACCTCTTTTTTCACCTCTTTTTTCACCCACTTGAATTCATTACTTTATAACTCTCTTCCTTGGTTTCTTTTTAGTTGCTTTCTTTACGTCCGTCTCCAACTTGACTGTCTTTCTTCTTCGTCCGTAATGATACCAATTACTTCCACCAGTCAATGGGTCAAATGGTCTTTCGTAAGGGTTTCCATACATTCCATAGGGACCATACGGAAGAACTGCTGGTGGAAGTTGTGGAGAAGAAACATTTTCTTTAGTTCCATCGAATCTATTTAAATGCATTGTTTCACCTTTCATCTGGTCATTAAAGTCTTTTGCGTGTTTTGCAAACTCATCGTCCTTTCCTAAAGCATTTTCTGACTCAGTCGCAACCAAATTGGATGCTTTATTTATGAGCCCTATTTTATTTAATCTTAACTTCTTTGCAACCCAGCCTCCAATCTTCCCTTTATTTGCATCTAATGTCTTTGAAACCCTTCCTCCACTCATTTTATTTACTGCGTCATAAGCTCCAAGTGCTTTTGCTCCAAATGCTAATGCTTTTGTTCCCATTGCGCCTAAAGCTGCCCAAGCTACCATTTACACCATATTAAAATCATCTCTCTTCAATATTATCTCATAAAAGTTCTCGTTACTGGAGAAAGTCAAAAACATAAGCGTTCTCACGGGCTTCGCCCTCACTGCTTTGCGGTCTATCTAACTTCTTTCTTATCTCATCTATACGCTTCAAAATGTCTGAACAATTGCTAACATCTTCTACAACAGTTATTTCATCATGAATGACCTTCAAAGAACAAACTCATTTAATATGCTATTAAAATCATCTCAAATAATGAGTCCATCCTTTCCATCTTTTGTAGCACAACATCTTTCATTGAAGAAGGTTCGACAAGTCTTATGTTAAACTTACTGACAAAGTTTGTTATACTATAATGCTTCGCGGCGAATACATGTAGTTTGAAAGACATAATATAGATTCTTCAGCAAATTCACTTATACTGGATTTTATAACAATGTTCTCACGAGACCAAATACCACCAATTGACAATCTTGTAAGCAATCCTGCTGAACCTTCTACTGTAAACGTCGATGGTAACATTCCACGAAGGTCATCTATTGACATCGTTGAGTCACTGATTTAAATATTTTCTTAAAGCAATCGTCATTATCTAACCATGCAATAGCTTTGAAGTTTTCATTCGAATATACATCTGCTTCATTAAATGTAAATCCTGACTTCTTTGCAGAGATGACTTTAAAATCTATTGAGTTTGTTTCAAAATTATATGCTATGGTAACTTCTGAAGGTAATGCATGCCCTTCCGCAGTCAGTTGTTCTCTCACTACTACCGTTTGAAGCTTTGTATTAAAAACTTTCATGTCATCTCCTGTATCTAAGTTCACATACACAGCAACAGGAAAACTATCTTGCTTCTTTGTTTCATCATTATACTCAAAACATTAAAGTTCTTCAATAATATTGTTCTTCCTGCTGGAATACTTCGAACCTGTCTGATTTCAATAGCTTTCTCACCTCCTACATACTCTACCCAGTGTCTTGGATATTCATAAGTATACTGACTTTCTTGAATTTTGGTTGGTTTCATCATAACATGTTCATAGTATATCTTTATACTCTTGTCAGTTAGACTCGGTGCTATGTTCTGAATATTCTGACTTGCATTTTTAATGGAGATAAAATGAAGCATTTTAATAATGATGTAGATGAAGACATGAATGAAACTACAGACAAAACTTAACTCTTCTCTTATTCTTCCTTCAGTAAGGACTATGAGTTCTGTTCAAATGGTGTTATTTCTATTGTGGAAAGATGGGTCAGGAAGACATTCAACCTCATTCGTCATATACTCATAACAGAACGTTTAGGAAACGACTCTTACTATGACCAAATCATATATCAGCAACTTCAGACTCTATGGACTCAACAGCGAAAACATTTATGTCAAAAGTTCAAGCCTCTGTCGTTAAAGTTCCAGACAGTGAACTCATTGAATTTCTTCAACGTTACATTCGACGTAAGAGAAAATATTATGCCATCGTTGAATTATACAGTCAGGAATGCAAAAGACTTCTGAGGAGATGAAAGAATTATTGACAAACACCACTTACGTCAATACTCAGAGTTTACGATATGAAACGACTTACAAACTACATTCTGTCAAAACTTTCAAAAATACCCTTCAAAAAGTATCCTTCAAACACTCTCGTTTGTGACGACTTCGCCGGAAAAGGTTTAGGTGTCAAAGCCTGACACACCATTAGCTAACATCATACTAAAGTCAGACATTACATTTAACTGTAGCAATACTTATGCAAACATGGAGGTTTTAGCTTTAAACATAAAACGTCTCATAACTGACTTCGTTATCTTTCAAGGTTTTCTCACGTTATGACATTGAACTCATTTGGAAACAGTCAGGTATAACATTACCTTTTGAAGAAATTTGGGAAGCATATAAGTCTCTCATCTCTCCTCGTTCATACCTTGAGATTCATATCATGACTAATACATTAAAGTCAAAAATATTCCATGGGAACGACCAACATTGTTTTAAATCTTATGCTTTAATTGACTGATGGTAAACAAATTCATGCATCTCTGTCGCCATTTCTGTTAATATTTTGCTGTCATTCATATCATCCACTTCCCCATCGTTAGCTTTTGAGGATATGCGTTAGAATAGCTGTTCTTAAATGAAGGCTTTTCACCTTTGAGAGCATAAACTCTATAACTTTCTGCATACTTTATGTTTGAACCTCCTGAGCCATCATTGACATAAATTTTATAGGCTTCCACCCTTTGTTCATATTCCTGCTTCTTCCCTTTGCTCTTTTGTTCAGTAGTTCTACATCTTTATACACAGCTCCTGTCTCAGTGAATTCAACAATATTTTCATTCGTTAGCTTTACATTCAAACCCTTGTCGAGTATATTGTTCATTTCATACATATAAAAGTTTTATTCTATATGAAATGAGAAGCAAATCCATCTTAGCTGTGCCGTTAATGTTCCAATTGAACCAACATCAAATGTTGACTCACGAACGACAAACAATATTGTCATAAAGAACTATAGTTCAGAGTGTTTGAAAGAAAAAGAACCAGAGCTGAAATCCGTGAATTTAAACTCAGCTTCAAACGCTAACGCTACATCAGATGTTAAGTTAGAGTATCCACCACTGGACCAAATTCTTTCAAGAGAAGCCAACGACAACCCTTACACAAATGTTCAAACAAATCCTTCAGATAACGTAGACCATTACCTTCTTCAGTTATACCAAACAATTTTACTCAAAGACGATAAGAAGCTTTTGACAAATCTTATAAGTAAGAACCAAATAATTCTAACAAAGGAGGACCTTGAAAATATTATATCACGAATAACAGGAAAGCAATGTGTCATTGACTATCTCGACCCTGAAATCGAATGCTGTGGTCAAACTCCAATATTCATGAAAATAGGTAACATCCGCATCATTGAAACACCAGGAACTACAGGAGTTGAGTTTAAGTATATATATTCGAACGAGTATACAAAACTTTCAACAGAATATAAGCTTTGTCTTAAATATGTTTTAGTAAATTAAAGCAATTTGTAATATCTATCCAAAACTTCTTCAACAGTATCGAACTCATCTTCATAATGCAAACCTAATCTTATTGACTTGGTGCAGTTTTCACTAACACAATATTTTTCTGTTCTCTTGACTGACATAACTAACTCATTTGTTTCATCAAACAGCAACAACCAAAGTTCATGCCCTAATACATAACATTCATACTTTATATTTTTAGCTCTGAGTTCTCTTGTAAGCTGTTGCATTTAATATTTTCTAAAAAGTCAACTTCAACAGTCATTCGCACTGGTGCCTTCAGTTCTACAGGCTCTCCTTGAAAGTCAACAAGTCTGAATTGCATGTCTTTCAAATTATGAGGACTAATGCGAACCCATTTACCTAAATGAGTTGCTATGACAGGAACGTTTGGAATGAACATTGAATTGACTGCATAACAGAAGGATTTATATTCTACTGAACCTTTACTATTAACTCCTGAAATACCTGTGACATTAGCTATTTTTGACTCAATGTACAAACAATTACCATAACATACGTATGGAACAGATTTCATCTCAATCGTTTTGTCAACACTTTTCAAAGGAAATGTCATATGGTATGCTCCCAAAAGAAGTTGTACTCTATGACTCATTCTTGGTATCTTAAACTCTTTCGCATAACTGAACTTCAAAACTCCTGCAATAAGTTTAACATTCATCAAGTTTTCTTCGTTATCCTTGTTTATTGTAGTATTTATGAGAGCATTTAACACTCCAGCTAATGTTTCCATCTTATATTCTACATTATTGTGAAATCTTATTTCGTGCTTCTTTCCATCTATTTCAATCTCCATGAAATCTGTTTCATCTGTTATAACGAATGAAGCAATAGTATTAAAGTCAACCATTCTGAATGCAAGTGGCTCATTCTGTAGACCTAAGTTTGTTTGTAGCTTTACTGTCCCGTATTCGTTTGGGTCTGTACTTTGCAAATAGAACAACATTTTATTCTCATTAAAATATGAGTATAGCTGCATATGCGTATGAAGCTGACAGAGCTAAACGTTTATATTTTGGTCAATACTCTCTCACACTTACTGACAAATATATTGTTATCACTGATGGAAATACTGAGAAATACATAACATGGAAGGACTATGAAAAGTTTGACCCCATTTTAACTCCATGCACTATGCCATTCATTGTAAATGGTGAAGTTGTCATGAAGAACGACACAACAGTATATAAGTCTGTTCATGAAGCGTTAGAATATATGTTGAATTATAATCCCGAAAGATTTGACCCAAGCACTACACATGTGCAATGCCTTTTATTAAGGACGGTGAAATCGTAAGAGTTCCGAATTCAACGGTTTACACAGCTGTTCAAAACAGTTTACAAAACATTTTAGCGAATATCTTTAATTCAGAAACTACAGAAATAAAATTACCATATATAACAGATGCTAAAGAAATTAAATCAAAAACAACACAACATTATTTACGTCACTTAATGATTTAATGACTTATATCATTAATATTCCTGCACCAACTACAGCATTTGATCCAAACTCGACGGTTTGCAGTGTACCTTTCATAAATGACAGTTCATTAATTACTTTAAGGGATTCGACAGTAAATGAATCATTAAAGGCGTCATTAATGAAAATCATTGATTTTAATTCATTCATGAATACATATAATTCATTCATTAATGTTTCATATGCTTCTAAAGAAGGTGAGCCAAAAACTATTGATAAAGCGGTGTATGAAATAAAAGCATCAACGACGAAATTGAATTCGTTAACTTTTGACGGTGATAGTTTCGTTAATGACATAACATCGGGGAAAACAATTTTAACGAAAGAATACTTAAAATCTCATGTTAGTGAGTTCGTTGAAATTGAAAAAGAAGGTGGAATTAAGTTCGATCCACTGAATTTCATTTTCAGCTTAGCGAATGCGGGTGTTAGTTTCGCTGAATGGACAACTATACAGAGTGAAATAAATGCAATATGGACGTTTTTGGGGTCAAAAGCGGGAATGGGTGAGCTTGTAAATGCTGCAAGAACATTAGGTGAAACAGGAAATTTTGTAGATGGTTTTAAAAGACTTGTTTCAAATGTTTTAACAAACACAAAGAAATTATTTAGATATACCGTACATAACGGACGGATTTTCGAACAGATAGCAACAAACCCTCCGGTTATGGCTGCGTTGATGATGGTTAGAGATATAAAACCACGTAACGACGGGAACGAAGAACATGAACAACAGGATACTGGTCGGGTTATTCGAGACATTAAAAACGTGTATCCTGAAGTTATTGATTTATTTAGAGGAGTTAATGATTCAATTTCAAAACATTCTATAACCCTCGATGAAGAGAATAAATTAACAGATTATATATTCGTCATTATTGCAGAATTAATGAAGAGAATAAATGAAAAAGGAATTGGTGATATCATTAATGTCAGCGATGTAATGATGAAAAGAAATTTTGACTCATTATTTACAAAACGAAAACAGAATATAGTCTTTATGACGTAATTACCGAATTAATGAAAAAGATTAATGATAATAAGAGTTCTGGCGGAAGAGTTGAATTAGAAGTGAATGATGTTAATGAGAAATTAGCCGAAAAAGCAGACAAAAATGAGCTTTTAGCTCTGAGTGATAAAGTCAAGAACCACGTTCATTATATAACTTCAGACGAACAGATTATAACGGACTACCATGGATATTTAACACGAAGTGATGAAGTGAAGACAAAAGATGTTAATGAAAGAAGATATAAATTCATTCGTGCTAAAGGTTATGATATACGCTGTACTGTACAGTATGACACAGGTAAAGCACCAGAAGCATTTGGTTATAACGATGAAATTTATGCCTCTACTTTCTCTGTTAACGGTGTATTAGTTGAACCAAGATTTACATTGAGAGTTAAGACAAAAATAACCGTTGAAGATGCTATTAAAAGTAAAGCTGACAAAGATGAACTTGACGCAATGAACAAAGTTTTGAAATCTCATAAACACAATATCTGATATAAATGAACTTCAAGCTACATTAGACAGTAAAGCCGACAAGAACCATACACATAAATCTTCACTACTGTTAGAGCAGACGACATAATATTGAACTATACCCTTGGTTCAAGTGCACCTTTAGAGAATCCAAGTACAAGCGTAAAAGATACACTAATCCTTAAATAGTAAATGTATGAACATTGAAGGTCATGCCAGAAACTTTGAAGCACATGAACTACAGCAATGTTAGATAAGAAAGCTGACAAAACTTATGTGGATGCAGAACTAACAAAGAAATTTTCGAAACCAGATACAATGACATTTACAACAGAAATTATAAATGGCGAACCAGCAACTCCATTTGAATTTGTTAGAGGTCTCAACCAGATACTTTTGAATTTTCTTGGATAATTCTATTGAACTAACATTACATTATAAAAGTGGAACAAATGCAACATTTCATCCGGGAGATACATTCCAAATGGTATTTAATGACATAAGTTCTTTAGAATATGTTTATAGAGTTATGAGCATATATGATTTAATATATCCTATAGGAGCTGTTTATACGTCTATGAATCCAATAAATCCAAACACTTTATTTGGTGGTAGATGGTATGAAATAGTTGACAGTTTTCCATTCTACACTAATACGCAGTCAATGAAGATGGGAGGTTCAAAGAAAATAGGTATTGAAAACCTTCCTTCACATATGCATAGGTTCAGTGGAAGAACATCTGTGGAAGGAAACCATTCACATTCAATAACAAAAGATATATATAAACAGGTAACCTCTGTGAACCGTATAAAAAATGAACATCTACATGCCATATGGTATCAGGTTTTGTTGCTTCATATGGCGTATAATATTTTTGAGGGGGCCTGTCACTTTTTGGTTCTTTGATCTCCAAAATACTGTAAATTCTTCTGAGTTTATTGTAGGAAACTGAATAAACATTTTGATCCGTGTTTAAACGCCAAAACATCTTTTGGATTCCGCACTTATATTCCTGAAATTTTTGGAGAACATATTGCAAATTTTCAGGAGTAATATCATCTGGTGCCGGACCAGATTTAACGTTTGGGGGTGTTAAATTTGTATTTGTGTATGCTGCTTTAAGTGTGTTTTTCGAAATTGATCTAAATTCACACTTCATTTCATCCTCGTATGGAACTCGCTTACACGCAATTAAATAATTGAGTTCGCGATATTCAAGTTTTTCGCGTGTTTGAATTAACCACCAAGAAGGAATGGTTGGTCTACTCATAATAAAAAATGAAAAGCCAAATTCTCTCAAAAAGTTAAGTAGGACCAATTTTTTATAAAAAAATTCAATTCCATTATGAATGTTAATTAATTTATATAATTATTGAATAAAAAATTTTCTTTGAGATTATGAAAAGTTCTTTGAAAAGTTATTTTTTCTCATTTTTAAATATTGTATTAGCCTATTTATTTATAATCCAAATTAAATAACTTTAAATTCAATATTTAAAGAATAATTTTGAAGGAATTGAGTTACTTCCCCCGATGATAAAATTGAGAGGTTTACATTTTGATCGAACTTAGCATGCAACATTTGCAACCCCAACTTAATGGGGCTAGTATCCTCAGCTTCAGAAAGTTCTATTCCTGCATTTTTAAGAGCTTCATTGACATAATTTATGAGAACACCATACTGAGGATATAACTTATATATTTTATCTCCAACAGTTTCTTGTATTTCCTCTTCCTCTTCATTTGTTTCGCCGCCTTGTGGCGCAGAGTCTTCTAAATCTCTTGGCATTGCCTGTATTGCATTAAGTGGTATTGGTTTTGGTTTTGGTGGTGTATAATTTCTAAACAAGTTTCTAGAGAGATATATAAAACGCTGTGTTAAGTTTGTTATAGTATTTGTTTGAAAGCCTGTTCTTTTCAATAATTTGTCGAAGTCTTGTTCAACTCGAGAATTAAGCTGTTTAAATGCTTGGGCACATCCTTGTAGTGAACTTGAATTATTATCTACTTCCACAGTTAAGTTTAGGATATCTGTACATAACGTTTCTATAGTACGATTGGCAATGTTTAACGAATCTTGAAATGTATTAAGAGTTCCTGCAATAGTATCGAAAAGATTGGTAGTTCGTGTAATGAAGGTACCTAGCTTGTCAAAAGCATTTGTGCCAGTATCTAAAATTTTTAGAGCATCTCTAAGACCTTTTAAAGCATCTGAACCAACAATTGCCCATAACTTTCCAACTTGGTATTGAAGAGCTCAATATGAAGCTGTTGTTAAATCAGTATTTATTAAGTCCCATATCCATGTTTTTGCAGCACTTCCATCTTCACCATTTTTGCCATCTAAGCCATTTTTACCTTGTGGACCTTGAATTCCTTGAGGACCTTGAGGTCCCGCATCTCCTTTATCTCCTTTAAGTTCATCTTTATGTTCATTGTAATATTCTAATGTCATTAAATGCACATCTGGAGTATTACCTGCAATACCTAAAATTTGTTTTTCATTTACGACTCAATTTTTGAGACATTTAATGTTGTCGTCAAATCGAAAGCTATTTAATAATTCAATGAGAACATTAAGTACTTTAACTAATGAAGCATCCAATGTAGAAGTTATGTATTGAACTGTTCCGTCGGTTATGACAGGAACTCTGCTAGTAGTAATGAAAGGGTCATATGTTTGCAATGTATTAAAGTCAATAATTTTCTTTTCATTTCCGTCGTCAATAATAATATCATGACCATCTACGGTTAATGTTGTATTTTCATTTACTAATTCATGTGCTATATTAGCTTCGTTAGTTTCATAAGCATATGCGGCAATAGTCATTATTTTAATAAGAATAAAATGTTATTCTATTTGCAAAGTACTGACCCAAAAGAATATGGGACATTAAAGCTTCAAACTAACTTAGGACTTCAGAGCGAACCATTAGCATTCAGAGTTTTAGACTTTAATACTACAGCTTCCTTTGTCATAACTGACGAATCGGATTATATTGTGTTTGAAAAGAAAAAACAAATTATGTAGTTAATTTTAATAACGTATCTAATTATAGAATAGACAAACTTGACAAAGTATTAGATGAGCTTGTAAAGGCAAAAATAAATGACATGAAAGTCGAAATGACTTCAATAGGAACTTTAAAATTTAGTATTGAAAATAAAGAATTTAAGATAACATGTATGAGTCATAGAGCACAACTTTTACTTGGTGCATACCATATGGAATTACCTATTTCAAGTGTTGACAATGCTATTGAGATGAAATCTGTTCCATATGTATGTTATGGAAATTGTTTATATGTGGAATCTAAAATAAGTAATATAACAGGTATTTCAGGAGTTTATAATAAAAGTTCTATTGAATTTAAATCTTTCTGTTATGAAGTAAATTCTATGTTTATTCCTCATGTACCTGTTTTAACATTTTATCACGGTAAATGGGTAAAAATAATGCCACATCATTTGAAAGATATGTATTTTAGAATTGTAGATTTTCAAGGAGAACCAGTAGAATTAAAAGCACCAGTTAGAATGACTATTGAAGTAGATTTTTGGTCAAATGTTAAAACAGATGTCGAAAAAGAAGATTCAGAATTAAATATTTAATTCGCTAAAACATATTTTAGACAAAGTTTATAATCTGAAGAAAGTTTAGTATATTCATTGGAATACCTATATTTAAACTCAACTCCTGCAGTTCCTGGTGTTTCAATAATTCTTATATTACCTATTTTCATAAATATTGGAGTTTGTCCACAACATTCTATTTCAGGGTCGAGATAGTCAATGACACATTGTTTGTTAGTTATTCTTGAAATAGCATTCTCCAAGTCCTCCTTAGTTAATATAATTTGATTTTTACTTATAAGATTTGTCAAAAGTTTTTTGTCGTCTTTGAGTAATATTGTTTGATATAACTGAAGGAGGTAATGTTCTACATTATCTGGAGAATTTGTTTGAACATTTGAATATGGGTTTGTTTCTGCATCTCTTGAAATAATTTGGTCCAATGGTGGATACTCTAACTTAACATCAGATGTTGCATTAGCGTTTGAACCGGTGTTTAAATTCACTGACTTAAGTTCTGGTTCTTTGTCTTTCAAATTTTCTGAACTATAATTCTTTATAATAATATTATTTGTAGTTCTTGAATCCACGTTTGATGTTGGTTCAATGGGAACATTAACGGCACCAGCTAAGATGGATTTGCTTCTCATTTCATTAAGAATAAAAAGCTTTTAATAACATATAAATGAACAATATATTCGACAAAGGTTTGAACACAAAACTTACCAATGAAAATATGGTTGAATTTACTGAGACTGGAGCCGTATATAAAGATGTAGAATTTTTGAACCAAAAAGCTAAAGGGAGATATAGAAATATGAATAAAGGATGGAAACCAATAAAAATTTATGTTAATGACGGTTCAGGAGGTTCAAACATTAAGTATTCAGAGAGTTATAGAGTTTATGCTAAAAAAGGTGAAAAACCAAATTATAAAAATAGTTATTCAAACTTATACCCTCAGCATATTACAAATGGAGAAAAAGACTCAATGAATGACTTCAAAAATATTAACAGAAATGGAGATAGAGATGGTTGGAACTTATTTACAACACCTCAGTTAAAAGTTAAGATTTAAAATAATGTAGGTCTTTCCCAAGGTATATTTTTAATATTTATTGTATTAGTCATGACATGAATTTCTAAATATGAACGTGGAGAAATTAAAGATTTATATGCTTCCCAAATTTCTTCAAAAGGTAATGTTATTCCGGACTGTTTCCAAATTAATTCAATGTCGTATTTTGAAAAACCTTGAAAGATAACGAAGTCAGTAATGAGACGTTTAATGTTTAAAGCAAGAAAACGCCATGTTTGCATAAGTATTGCAACAGTTAAATGGTAATGTCTTACTTTAGTAATGAGATTCGCTAATGGTGAGTCTGGTTTTGAAACTAAACCCTTCCCAGCAAAGTCGTCGCAAACTAACAAAGTATTTGAAGGATATTTTTTGAATGGATATTTTGAAAGTTTTGATAAAATATAATTTGTAAGTCGTTTCATATCGTAATCCCCATTCCATTGTCTTAAATGATGTTTAACAATAATTCTTTCCATTTCTTCAGAAGTCTTTGACATACCAGATTGAATAAATTCTACTATAGCATAATATTTCTTCTTTCTTCTTATATATCTTTGTAGAAAAGAAATTAACTCGCTATCTGGAACTTTAACTACAGAGGCTTGAACTTTTGACATAAATGTTTTAGCTGTTGAATCCATTGAATCTGAAGTTGAAGAAATTATAATTTGGTCATAATATGAGTCATTTCCTAAACGTTCTGTTATGAGAATATGACGAATGAGATTAAATGTTTTACCTGAGCCCATTTTTCCACAATAGAAATATACACCATTTGAACAAAATTCGTAATCTTTGCTAAAAGGAAGAATGAGTGAAGAATTTAATTTTTCAGAATTTTCATTCATATCTTCATCTACTTCTTTAAATAATCTTTTCATTTTATCCCTATTAAAAATGCAAATTAGAAATGTTCAGAACATTACTCCGCAACTTAATGACAAGAGTATTAAAATTTATTACGAACATACATTTTTGACACCAGTTAATATAAATGAAAATGTTTTAACTTATGAATATCCAAAACATTGGGTAGATTACGCAAGCGGTGAAAAAGCTATTGAAATAAGACAAATTCGAACCATTCCTGCAGGAAGACTAATACAACTCGTTAACTTTAGTGTTGTAAGAGAAGAGAAAAAATATCCATTACAAATTTATTTAGATTTAAGTCCACAAGAAGATATGACAGTTTTCAATGCTAAACTTAAAGAAATGTTGCAAACTCAATTAAATATGGCATTGTATCCAAATGCAGAAGAAATAGAAATATCATATCAATCGGATTCAAATATACTGCAATTTAAAATTAATTCAAATCTCAAAGATAAAGTAGGATTTTATTTCAATGACGCTGAAACACATTCAAATAGAAACTTTCAAGCTATAACGTGTCTTAAAGACGACAGTTTATTTCAAAATTTAAGTAAGTTCAGTGCTGAAAAGATAAATATAAACCAACTTGAAGATTTATTACCGGACAACGTGTCAGTCAGTGGTTCAGGACATTTATTAACAAATATAACTTTTGAAGATGTTTGGTCTCGCGAAAGTATGTTATTAAAATCTAGTATTAGCGATTTCGCTGAAAATTCTGTTCTTGGTTTAACAAACTGTTATTATTCTCCACCAAAGCATTATAGTATAACAAATTATGTAAATAAATTTACATTAAAGCTTTTTGAGCCATCTTCGAAGAATGTTGTAATACTACCAAACGACTTGAAAGATACAATACTTATTGAAATGATATTAATAGCATTCTAAAGTTTTAAAATATAATAAATGAGTTCGACTACTCCAAGTAGTTGGGGAACACCATTTAACTCGCGTGAAAGTTCTCGTCAAGCTTCTCCAATTTTTAAACCAGGTCCTGAACTTCCTTACACTGGTCCTGCTGAAGCACTTTTGAGAAATACACCACCAAGAGTTCCTACACCATTAAATCCATATTCTTCACCTCGTTTAAGTCCCATTGTTCCTGTTAAAAGTAAAGGTGTCTTGGATTATATTAAGAGTGCTTGGAACCGTCCTTATACAAAATATCTTATTCCTTTAGGTGTTTTAGCTGCATCTTCGGCATTCTTTGCTTTAAAACATAAGAAACCAAATGTTATTCAAAATACTTCTGTCAAAGAATATAATACTCCTCAAGAAGATAAACCAGCTCCTCAAGAAGAGAAACCAGATGCTAAAGAATATAAAACAGATTTAAATTATGCAATAAATGAAACACCTAGAAAGAGAAGACGTCAAAGATTTAATTGAATATAAATGACGTTATTTTTAAAGGTAGTATATGATGAAATAACTGTTGTAGAAGATGTTAGCAGTTGTTCTGATATTTTGAAGAGAATAGATGAGATAAAGAAAAAGTTCAATAACGAAAACATTAATGTTTCATTGACTTTTTCATCCGAAGAGAACTTTTATGAGATAATGTTAAAGAGAATTGATTTTAACGTAATATAAAATGGCAGCAACAACGATGGCAGCTTTAGGAGCTTTATATAGTGGATATAAAATTGTAGATGGCTTAACTGGTGGAGCTATAACAAATACTTTACGAAAAAACACTGGTATGATGGTTGGAGCAGCAGTAAAACATCTTAAGTCGGAAAAATTGAAGAAGTTAGGTAATTTTGCTGCAGACCAATCCAGCAACCTTCTTGGAGACAGCAATCCAATTACAAAGAATTTACATGACTTCAGTGGTCAACTGAATGGAGAAAAATTTAATTTAAATCCTATTGTCAAAGAAAAGAAACCAGAACCAGAACCTGTAAAACAACCAGAACCTGTAAAACAGCAACCAGTACAGCAACAAACTGTGGTAATGCCTCCATATGCAGGTTATGGAATGTATAACATGCCTTTTGAACCATTTGACCCAAAGATTGGAGGTTCTAATTGGTACCATTATGGTAAAGGCAGAAAAGCAGCTAAAAAAGAATATGAAGAAAAGATGGCGGCAAAGGAGAAGAAGAAAGAACAACAAAAGAATAAGAAGAAAAGAGTTATGAAAGAATAAAGAAGATTTTTAAATAAATAAATATTTTTGCCAAATAGAAATGTCAGGAAAAATTACTGAAGCTATGAAACAAAAGTTTTTAGTTGAATATATTAAATCTGGAACTGTTCCCGAAGGTTTTTACGTACATCAAATGAAAGATGGTAGAATTCAATTTAGAAAAATTAAAAAATAATTAGATAAGGAAGGTATATTAAGAAAAATTAAATTGCATGAAGACAATATTGCTGAATTGAAGAAGAAGTTAGAACAATTCGACGCCGAAGAATAAAATTATAAAATTTATTTTGTAAAATTTATTTTTAAAGTTTATTTTTTCATTGACTGACCGACCGACCGACCTAAGTTTATTTGTAAAGTTGTCAGAAATATGTTTTAAAATTCATGAAATAAAATAATTTTTAAAATTTATTTTTGGAGGTTATGAAAAAATTTTATAGGTCAATGAATGACTGACTGACCGACTGTGTAAACTATTAAAATTGTGACAAAAATGAATTTTGCCATTAATTCTGACATTAGTACTTTACGTGGCAGATAAAATACGTTATTTAAATAAAAATGCTATGTAAATACTTTACATATCAGAACGATTATTGTAAAGTGTTAAAAACATATGTTGTGTTGCATGCTAAGTTCGGTCAACGATAGAAATTGAGTGGAAATTGATCGTCGAGGAAGTACGATTATGTAAAGAAAAAAATGTTGTGGGATTTTTAATATTATATATTATTTTATAATAAAATTTTTTGAGTCATTTTAAGAAGCACATATAATTTTTTGAATTTAAAAATTAAAGTAGTGTCAAACGAATTTATCACTTAATTTAATACTGTTTCATATTAAGTTCTGTCAAAATGTAAGCTATTGAATTTTTTGAGAGGGAAATAATCATCGAGGAAGTAAAAAGTGACGCTTTGGGAAATATTATTAGAAATATGATAATAAATATATTTGGAAAAAATATGTTTTTTTCAAAAATTGAAATGTTCATAGAATATTTTGAAATATGTAGGGAATTGAATTCGGTAATATATGATAAACAGGATTTTTAAATTTCAAGGAAAAATAGCTTTTGTGAATACTTTTGAGAACTCTTCTCAAAGATCATGTTTCAAATATATTAAGGAGCCAAAATATTAGAGATGAGTTCACAATCAAAATTTTCTCACTTTTCTTCCAAATTTACATCCTTACTCACCACTTTCAAGTTTTTCATACATATATCTTACCCATTCATTTGGAATGTTCCATATTAAGTTCTGTCAAAATGTAAGCTATTCAATTCTATCGTCGGGGAAAGTATCACAAATCTATCAATTTTTTTGTAAAAGTATACAAAAACATATGGTGTTCAATTAGTTTATAATAATATAAATATTAAGATTATCCAAAATAAGAAAAACTAGGTTTTGAGAACACTTTTGAGATGATAATCAAAATATTTTGATTGAAAAATAATATATTATGTATCAGATATAGAATGGATTTTTTCAAATTTAAAAATTCTGAAAAATAAACAGTTTTGTAAAGTAAAAAAATGAACGAAAACTCGAGACCTCGTATTCCAAATGAATGGGTAAGATATATGTATGAAAAACTTGAAAGTGGTGAGTAAGGATGTAAATTTGGAAGAAAAGTGAGAAAATTTTGATTGTGAACTCATCTCTAATATTTTGGCTCCTTAATATATTTGAAACATGATCTTTGAGAAGAGTTCTCAAAAGTATTCACAAAAGCTATTTTTCCTTGAAATTTAAAAATCCTGTTTATTATATATTACCGAATTCAATTCCCTACAAATTTCAAAATATTCTATGAACATTTCAATTTTTGAAAAAAAAACATATTTTTTCCAAATATATTTATTATCATATTTCTAATAATATTTCCTAAAGCGTCACTTTTTACATCCTCGATGATTATTTCCCTCTCAAAAAATTCAATAGCTTACATTTTGACAGAACTTAATATGTAACAGGAATACGAGGTCTCGAGTTTTCGTTCATTTTTTTACTTTACAAAACTGTTTATTTTTCAGAATTTTTAAATTTGAAAAAATCCATTCTATATCTGATAAATAATATATTATTTTTCAATCAAAATATTTTGATTATCATCTCAAAAGTGTTCTCAAAACCTAGTTTTTCTTATTTTGGATAATCTTAATATTTATATTATTACAAACTAATTGAACACCATATGTTTTTGTATACTTTTACAAAAAAATTGATAGATTTGTGATACTTTCCCCGACGATAGAATTGAATAGCTTACATTTTGACAGAACTTAATATGGAACAATACTCAGATTTCTTAAAATTAATGAAAAAAGGTTTTCTGAGAACTTTTGAGAATGGTTTTCAAATTCCATTATTGAAAATATATAGGTATTGTATGAAATTCAAACTCTATATTTATTAAAATTCTAAATTTTTAATAAAATAACTTTTCAGAGGAATATGATTTTGAATGGTTGATTAATAAGTATAAAAATGTCTACGATTTTAAGGAGGGAATTGTTCCTTATGAGGTATACATCATAACTATATAACTCATAAGGAACAATTCCCTCTTGATAGCTGGGAAACTTTCTCTGAATAACTTATCATTTGGAGAAAGTTTCCCAGCTATCTATTAGAAACTAAAGGCTGTGAGGCACTAATATATAATCAGTGCCTCATAGCCTTTAGTTTCTTATTAAAACGAGAAAACTTGTTCGAAATGATAAACAATTTCGAACAAGTTTTCTCGTTTTAAGGAGGGAATTGTTCCTTATGAGGTATACATCATAACTATATACCTCATAAGGAACAATTCCCTCTTGATATCCTGGATATTTTTGAATATATTTTTTTAATTAAAGTTCTCAAAAGTATTATCAAAAGTGATTTTTTAAAAATATCTCCAATTAATTAACTAATTAAAAGTATTATATTTTTAAAATTAAATAGTTTTTCAATTTTTTGAAGGAATTGAGATACTTCCCACGACAATAAAATTGAGAGGTTTACATTATGACTGATCTTAGCATGCAACATTGTGGTAACAAGGGGCGTAGACCCTTGGTACCCAACATATGTATACTAACTTATAGATACATTTTTATTACTGCTTGATCTAAGAAATTTGCTTTCATATTGTAAACAATAGACCTATTTATAAATAGCAGGGGATTTATAAATATACCCCCTTATTTGGGATTTCCAATTAATTGGAAAAACCGCCCGATTGGAAAAACCGTCGCAATTGGAAATATTGCGAGATTGGAATTTCCAATCTCTCAATTGGAAATTCCAAATAAGTTTTTATTTGGAAATTCCAATTCATTTGGAAATTATAAATAAAACTTCAATTGTGAATTAGAAATGGAAATTGGAAATATGCCCTATATTATCTTATAAAAAAAAGGTAGTGGGGCTTCCAGGCGCGTTGCGCCCTCTAGCCCCGAAGATGTTTAGTATAAATGAAGTTTTTATTCGGAAAATTGTTAGTCTTCTGGTGTGAATTCGGAGGACTCTTCTTCTTCCTCCATTGCTTCTGGGAAGAAGCCTTCTTCTGGGTCGAAAACATTATATAATGTGTCGCTTTTCACAAATTATATATGTTTTCATGTTTTGTCAGTTTTCTGTCACTTTTCAGGTAAAAACATTTTTATTATTATATATAAATGAATTTTACAAAACCACCGTTACCGTTCTTTGGAAATAAGAGTAGATGTAAAGATATTATATTGAGACAACTTAAGAAACTACCGAATGGTCTAACATTTGTAGATTTGTTCGGTGGAAGTTTCTATATATCCCATTTATGTCATACAATATTCCCAGACTCAAAGATTATATGCAATGACTTCGACAACTATATGGACCGTCTCAAACATATACCAGACACTAACAAAATATTGAAAGAGTTAAAAGAAAAGATATCTATAGGTAAGATGGAACGTATACCATTAGATAAGAAAAATATTGTGAGAGAGGTTTTGAAAAAAGCAGAATATATAGACTGGGATAGTATATCTGCTAGACTATTATATAGTGGTGCTATAAGAGTTCATGACATTGAAACACTTATGTCAAAAGTTTTATATCTTAACTATACAAATGTTTTCAAAGAGAACATAGAAAAATATATTGAGGGTATAGAGTTTGTGAGATGTCATTGGACAGAGTTGTATGAAAAATATAAAGACAAGGAAAATGTTTTCTTTATAGTGGACCCGCCGTTCTATAACACATGGGATTTTCAATACCAAGTAGACTGGACTTTGAGAGACTCTTTAGAAACTTTAGACGTTATACATAACCATCCATGCTTTTACTTTACATCCGATAAAAGTGGTTTGGAAACCGTTATGAGATGGTTAGAGGACATACATGACTATGAGTTTAGATATGACAAGATAGAATATGAGAGAGGTCCTATAAACCGGAGAAAGTGTCACAATAAAGAAATTTTATTAGTAAGTAAATGTGGTTTGAAATAGGACTACTTGTTTTAGGTTTTTTCCATTGTGTCATTTATTTATTTGACGTGGCAGAAAAGTACAGAGAATATGAAGATGAACCAATGCCTGCAAATGTTCAGCATATGTACTCGTAAGAGATATTTTTATCTAATATTAAATGGACGCACAGAACTTAGCGAATGCACAGCAACCTGGACAACCAAACCCAGAGAATATTCCAAATGAAGTTAGAATACAAACTGCAATGGCAAACTATGGTCAAGTGCCAACAGATGTACAAATGCAAACTGCCATGTCAAATGACGCTGCGTTAGGTTTGCCACCATGGTATGCAAATATGAGATGGAAAGAGTTTTATACAAACCCTGAAGTGGGATATAAACAACTTTATGCAGATGACGCGAACACAGGGGTTGACCCAGAATATGTTTTCTACCAGAGGAGAAACAGAATGTATGAGCTCCAGTTAAAGAATGCTATGGAACTCAACAGGAAACGTAAGAGACTAGGCGGACATTAGATTTTTACA